GGGGTCGGGGGGCGTCCCCGGGGGTGCGGTCACTCACCGCGCCCGGGGAGCTGCAGCCAAGGGCTGCGTTTCCGGACGCTCCGCGTGGCGGTGGCGGCCTCGCACCAGTACGATTCGAGCTCCTCGACCTCGGGCTCGGGGACCGTGTACTCGGCGCCCCAGTCGAAGCGGCGCACGGGGCGGCTGTACTTGTAGAAGGCGAACTGCAGCGGCGTGTGGCGCTTCTGCGGGTGCAGGCGGGTGTCGCAGCGCACCGCCACCCCGCCGCGGGCCTCCGCCCGGCCGGTCACCCTGAGCACCGGCGCCGGGAACAGCTCTGCAGAGAGGGGTTCCAGGGGCTGAGCGTGCACGGCGGGCCGGCGCAGGGGCCCCAGGGGACGAGGTCCCCGCGTCCGCGGCCCCGCGACCCCTCTGTGCTTCGGGTTTCCCGCGAGCGCTCCTCGCGGACGCGGAGAAGGGGTGGGAGGAGGCTGGGTGCGCGCCGAGGAGGGAGGAGGCCTCCCGAAGGGCGGGGCAGGGGGCTCGAGGGACGGGGAAAGCTTGCAAGGGGGCAGGACCCGGCCAGACGCTTCCTGTCACATCCCGATGACATCCAGTTGGGGTCCCGCGGCCTAGAGGGGTGGCTGCGCCTTCTGCCTGGGGCTGTGGACTGAGCCGCCGCCTATTGGAGTTGGAGTCCCCACCCCGAGTGAGAAGCCAGAGCGTGCTGGAGGGAAGTGACACCCGCCCCCGCGCAGGCTGTGCCTCGATGTCGCCTTCACTGCGCAGGGGAGGAGAGGCCGAGAGCGTGCGTGGCCGGGGGGAGAAATCCGCTGCGTGGCAGCTACCTGACCCCCGCCCTCCCTGCCCGCCCGGTGCCCGTCCCCGAATTTCCCGGGACTCGCTCGCCTCCCTCCTGGGCCCCAGGTGTCCCCCACCTTGCACGGTCACGGCCACCTTGGCGGAGAACATGGGCGCGCTCTCCACCGGGATGCGCATGGTGCCCGAGCACTGGTAGCGGCCGCTGTCGCTGGCGCGCGCCTGTGGCACCGTGTAGTTGGCGCTGGAGTGGAAGTAGCGCACCGCCTTGCCGTCGTGGTAGTAGTGAAGCTTATACACCACCTTGTCGTACCAGCCGCGGCAGCGCACGACCAGCGGCTCGCCCTCGAACACCGCGGCGTAGGGCACTTGCAGGATCAGCCAGTCTACGACAGTCCCCACAGACAGGCCTGACTCCGAGAGAAATCCAACCCTGGGAGTCTCCCTTCTTCTCCGCCTCCCCGCCGCCCTCCCCGCACGGTTGCTCTCCTCGTTCTCGCCAGCTCCCTCCCTGCTCCAGAAGCAGCCGGCGCCCAAGAGGACTCCCCCACCCCCGCCCCCACCCCCAGACACACCCGTTTTAGTTGAAACCTACTTGTCCCCTAGATCTGGGTTTAGAGGTTTCCCCAACCCCCGCAGGACAGTTTTAGGTACCTCCCACCCTACCCTGTATTTATGGGTCACCGTCACCATCATCACCATCGCAGCTAATGCTTATGCAGCCCTAACATGTTCTGGATGCCATTTTAGGAGTTTTACGTTGAGAAAGAATTCTGGAGTAACAGCCACAGTCCCTATGCTCCTCTGTTCCACAAGCAGTAATCACCTTCTCTCGTGGCCAGTATTTTGTCTGTATCACCAACTTCCAAAACACAGAGTATGGACATGGAATGTATGTAAATGCTAAGTAATGATATTTGACTTCTGAATACAAGTTGTGGCCCGTCGAGCTAAGGGGACATAATACTCCCTACAAAATATCCAATCCGGTGCCCTAAAGAAGGGGTTATTGCTATTTCTCATCCTGCTTCGGAAACCCTTTCCGTATCCCCAGGAAGTCAGCCTCCGAATTGGCCCCTGTGCGCGCACGGGCACGTCCACAATAAGCTTTCAAGCGCTTTGTTCAACTGCTGCTTCTGCCGCCCCCTTAACAAGTCATCTTTCATTTCTCGTCGGCGCAACAGCCAAAGGCACAGATACAATTATTTGACTGCTGGGAAGCACAGAGAAGCACCTCGTTGCTCAGCCGGGAGTGATTCTCCCAGCTGCACGCAGCCTGCACGGGACTCTCACTTTCCGGGCTTGGCTCTGCCCTTTCCCTGGCTGAGCCCTCCCCCAAAGCTCCCTGTCCAGTATTACAGGTCCTCAGAGCCTCTCCCCTTCTGAGCTAGTCCCAGAAACAAACACAAATGTTTATTTGCCTCCCACTGCGGCAGAGGGGTGCGGGGACCTTTGGGGCCAGGCAAGCCCTACCACGCGGTCTCACGTCTTAGTGCCAGGCAGGGCCCTGCCTGCTCCAAAGACTCCAGACAGCCCCCGTTTCCTGCCCCAATGGGAGTGGCCCAGTGTCCCCTCCCATAGGAGGGCCAGTTCGGCCAGAGGAGATGTGCGCAGCCCCTGCCCTCGTGTTCAAACACTCACCATTGGAAACAGACAGGTGGATGGGGTCACTGACGGGCGCCCCCCGGGTCTGGCATCGATACACGCCTGGTGTCTGCACCTCGATGCTCTTCTTGTGAGAGGGCAGAAGCAGGTGGCCCAAATACCAGAGAGTGCTGATGGGCCGAAGCTCCAGGAGCGGAGGGTGGTACCCATCACATCGCAGGGTCACCCGCTCCCCCTTGAAGATTGTGGTCCAGGGCGGGTGTAGAGACAATACGGGCTTCTCCAGAGTAGCTGGGGAGGGATGCGGGAGGGGGCGAGGTGGAAAAGAGAATCAAGATGAGGTGCCCAAAATGTAGTCTGGGGTTGGCAAATCTGAGAAAACTCCAGCTCCCAGGACCCAACCCGCGTTACTAAACCAGTCCGATTGTGGAGACACCACGCTGGGTTACAAACTACCAGTCCCTCGATCTGTAGCCGTTTCTCAGTGCTTGGAGGCAAACTGAGTCACAGGGACTGAGGAGGCGTGGGAAGCGACACTGTCCCACGGCCGCCAGGAAGTGGGGAGTACCCAGGGAGCTCCCTTAGGGGGAGTGGTGTGGCGGGTGTAGAAAATTGGGCTCAGGGATGTGGAGGACTCACCAGCTTGCCCGCCGCTTGGAACTGCGACACAGGAATTGAAGAAGAAGAAAAAGAACGTTGGAGGTGAGAGGAAAGCAAGGGCCCTCTTGACCGTAGGAAACCCCCCCATGGGTCTCAAGACCTGTTTTGCTTCTGCTTTTAGTTTCCCCAGCCCCGAGAAAGCCCCCTCCCGAAATAGACAATGAACTGCTGTTTGGAATAGAGGAATATTCCCCAACACACACACACACACACACACACACACACACACACCTTGGCCCATACCCTCCCCCCCAGCCAAAGTGCTTGGGTCTCTGCTGACTCACTGAGGACTCACCCAGGAGCAGAAGGGCCGTCAGAGACCACATGACGGACCTGCCTTCAGAACGGTGCAGGTGCCCTGGCGTAGGGTGGGGGAGGAGGGAGAGAAGGTGGCCAGTGCTGCCGCCTGAGTCCTGGGAGGCATTGCGGCTTCGCTCACCCATTCCTGATTCCTGAAGATGGCGGACCGGAGACAGAGGGACGTGGGCTGGGTAAGCGCAGCCCTCCGGTGTCCCAGGCACCAGGCGCTGTCCCACCTGCCAGCCCTACAGCCGCGCCGCGGCACATCTCAGGCCAGCGCCAGCCTCTGTAGAGAAGGCGTGCTGAGCAGAACCCATGCCGTCTGCGGCCCGAGGAAGCCACAGAGAACCCCAGGCGGTGGCAGGTGACCCTGCCACCTTCGTCCCCCTCCCATTCTCTCTCCTCCCCACCTTCCAGCTGGCCCTGTAAGCCTCAGTTGAGGAAAGACCTCTTCATGTCCTCAGGGTCTACCCAGGGCCTTTATAATGCTGGCTCCCTGGTGACAGACATCGGTGTGAGGCCTAGTGAGGCTGACACTGGGTTCCCTGCACCTGGAGCTCACCGCTGCCCACAGATGAGTGGATGGAAAGGTCTGATTCACCAACCACCTTCTATGTCGCTGTCTTCCAAAGTTCCAGTTAAGAATAGAAATGGGGGGGGGGGGGGGTGGCGCCTGGGTGGCTCAGTCAGGGAAGCATCCAACTTCCTCTCAGGTCACGATCTCACAGTTCATGGGTTCGAGCCCCGCGTGGAGCTCTGTGCTGACAGCTCAGAGCCTGGAGCCTGCTTCGGATTCTGTGTCTCCCTCTCCCTCTGTCCCTCCTCCACCCCACTCTGTCTCTCTCTTAAAAATAAATACACATTAAAAACAGGTTTTTTTTTTTAATTAAAAAAGAAGAAATATGGGGCGCCTAGGTGGCTCAATCAGTTAAGCAGCCAACTCTGGATCTTGGCTCAGGTTATGATCTCACGATTTGTGAGTTCGAGCCCTGTGTCAGGCTCTGCACTGAGTGTGGGGTTACTTGGGATTCTCTCTCTCCCTCTCTCTCTCTGTCCCTACCCCACTCATGCTCTCTCACTCTCTCAAAATGAGTAAATAAACTTAAAAAAAAAAAAAGAATAGAAATGCAATGTGTTTCCCCTTCTTCCTCCCTTCTGGAAAACTTAAACCCTCAGAAATGCGAATCTGGAAAACTTAAACCCTCAGAAATGCGAAAATTCTTTACTACCCACCCCAGTGATCTCGCCCTATGGCATCTCCACTCACTTGTGCCTTCCTTCCTTCTAACCATGCCTACATGCCTCCCCCAACCATTCCCCTGTTCCGGGACTCCTTACCTGTGTCCCCTGTTCCGGGACTCCTTACCTGTGGCAGAGAAGTCACCACATCAGCCCCTCGGAAGCTTCTCAGGTCCAACCTCCCAGCTCTACTTCTCGAGCTTTCCGAGCTATGTGATCATACCCTGAGCAAATGGGCACCTGAATTCTCATGTAAATACTTAATGAAGTTTCCAACCTGATTGTATGTCTCTTTGGACTGTCTCCTGTCCTCACCTGTAGTGCACTGGGGCACCTCCTTCTTCTGGAACCCTGGCAGGAAGGAAAAGGATTGTCAGATGCTGTCACCTCTTAAACACAGTGTCTCCCCTCTTGCTGGCTGACGGCCGGCCTAAGCTCCGGTCTGAGGATTCCCTCAAGTTTCTCTTAAGGTGTCAGTTTTTGTTAAAAATGCAAATGCCTCTTAGGGAAATGTGATTGGCCATTTGAGTTTTGATGGCCACTTTAGACCCTGTATGAGAGCAGGTTTTGATAAAAGACAGGTAGTCATATGTGTCTGAAAAAGAGGGAGGAACCTGATAAGGGCTCAGGGGTGAGGGAGGGAGAGAAGAATTTGATACTGGGAACCGGAGATTATAAACTGCCTGCTTTAGGGGTGCCCCGGCTAGACAAGGCTCCCAAACACCCTGCCTGACTCCTCCTCTAGGGCCAGTGTGGGCCTCACCACATCCTGACTCAGGGGTCTGACTTCTGCACCAGGCCACCGCCCCCGTGGTCAGGATGTAATGCACCTGTCAGCTGTCTTTGCTCTATGCAAGCACCCTCTCTTTGGGCTTCTTATCACTCAGAACACAGATCTCAGCCTTTTTACCAGATTCTACAAGAAACCTGATCACCCCCACATATTCATGAGCCGTATCTTCTCCCTGAAAATCTCTAGACCTATCTATACGGTCCCCATCACACACTGCTCAGAATTGGACTTGAAGAATGTCCCACCCAACATTTCGTTTTTGTTGTGGTTCATTTATTTATTTATTTTGAGAGAGAGAAAGAGAGAGACAGTGCATGCGGGAGAGGGGCAGAGAGAGAGGGAGAGAGAAAGAATCCCAAGGAGCCTCCCCACTGTCAGTGCAGAGCCCGATGCAGGGCTCAAACTCATGAACCTAACCATGAGATCGTGACCAGAGCCGAAGTCAAGAGTCGGAAATCAAGGGTCAGATGCTTAACCGACTGAGCCACTTGGGGGCCCCCAACATTTCTTTACAGGAGGCTTTTTTTTTTGCATTTTCCCCAACTTGGATCTTTTTCTCCATGCCAGACTTTCCCCTGCAGAATTTCCAATTCTTCACCCCTTTGCTATATGGAGATATGTAGCAATTATCATTTTGTTACCTGAGCAATTCTTTGGAGCTTATCATGACCTAATTTCTGGGCAAGATATGCCACCTTCTGATAAGAATTCTGATGACTAAAATGCTTTCAATGATGATAATGACAAGGCTGCTGTTGCTGACAGTAAGGGCACCAGCCCGCTCTCAGGGAGCACTGAAGGGTGAGCATCCTGTCTGCGGCCGACACCGGATTACTGACACATTTCATCCTCGCAAGGGGCCTTTCAGAAAGGATCATTATTACCTCTATCCACACGACCCTTCTCTCCTCCCCACACGCATCCATTCATGCATATGTTTACCTGTGAGAAATATCTCGTTATTGATTTACATAAATGGTATTGTGTTTTAGGTATTATTTTCTCTTATTTTTAAACAGTTTATTATTTATTTTTGAGAAAGAGAGAGTGCGAGCAGGGGGAGGGGCAGAGAGAGGAGGGAGAATCTCCAACAGGATCTGCACTGTCAGTGCAGAACCCAACGTGGGGTTCGAAGTCACAAAACCGGGAGATCGTGACCTGAGTCGAAATCAAGAGTCCGCAGCTTATCCGTCTGAGGCACCCGGGTGCCCCATTCGAAGCACGATCTGCACTGACAGCAGAGAGCCCCACACGGGGCTGAACTCAGGAACCAGGAGATCATGTCGGGTGCTTAACTCACTGAGCCACCCAGCCACCCCCCACCCCCATTTTCTCTTCTAGAACAAAGTCAGAGTTAAGAGAAATTTGCCCCAACCACCATTTCCACCCCGCCCCCTACCCCCTGCATCTATGATTGAGCTGGGAAATCTCATCCTCTCGTCTCTGGCCCTTGGACTGGGATTTACATCATCAGCTCTCTTGGTTCTCAGGCCTTCGGATTAGGACTGAATTATACTTTCCTGCGTCTCCAGCTTGCAGATGCCAGGTCATGGGACTTCTCAGCCTCCATGATCTCGCGAACTGATTCCTCATCCTCATTCTCTCTCTCTCTCTCTCTCTCTCTCTCTCTCCCTCTCTCCCTCTCTCTTTCCTAGCCTCTGACAGCCACCATTCTACTCGCTGCTTCTACGAGTTTGACGATTTCAGATTCCACACATAATGAGATCACACACGATTTGTCTTTCTGTCTCTGGCTTATTTCACTTAGCCTAAAGTCTTCCAAGTTCATCCATGTTGTTGGGAATGGCAGGACTTTTTTTAAGGCTGGATACTATTCCATTGTGGGCGTGTGTATGTGTGTGTGTGAGTGTGTGTGAGTATGTACACATACACACATAAATCTCACACTTTCTTCATCCGTTCATCTTTCGATACACATTGAGCACTATTTAGGTTGTTTCCATGCTTTGGCTATTGTGAGAAGGGCTGCAGTGAACACAGAAGAGCAGATATCTCTTTGACATACGGATTCTACTTCCTTTACACATATACCCGGAAGTGGGGTTCCTGTTCATAAGGAATATTTTTAATTTTTTTAAATTTTTAAAAATTTAAAAATTTTTAATTTTTTTTTTTTAAGAACCCCACTGTTTTCCATAGTGGCTGCACCAGTTTACATTCCCACCAGCAGTGCACAGGGCTCTCTTTCCTCTACATGCTCATCAATACTTGTCACTTGTCGTTTTTGTTGTTGTCTTGAGAGAGAGAGAGAGAGCAAGAGAGCGAGGGCATGGGCGCAAGCAGGAGAGAGGGGAAGAGAGAGAATCTTTTTTTTTTTAATTTTTAAAAAATGTTTATGCATTTATTTTGAGAGAGAAAGAGAGAGAGAGAGAGAGAAGGGAGGGGCAGAGAGGGAGAGAGAGAGAGAATTCCGAGCAGGCTCTGTGACATTAGCACAGAGCCCCACATGGAGCTCGAACCCATGAATCATGAGATCATGACCTCAGCTAAGTCGGACACTCAACCGACTGAGCCACTCAGTCGCCTCTAAACTTCTTTTTTTTTAATGTCCATTTAGTTTTGAGAGAGAGAGACAGAGACAGAGCATGAGTGGGGGAGGGGCAGAGAGAGAGGGAGACACAGAATCCCAAGCAGGCTCCAGGCTCCAGCTGTCAGCACAGAGCCCGACATGGGGCTCGAACCCACGAACCGTGAGATCATGACCTGAGCCTAAGTCGGACGCTCAACCAACTAGCCTTTCAGGTGCTCCGAGAGAGAATCTTAAGCAGGCTCCATGCTCATCACAGAGCCCAACAGACTGATCCCACGACATTGGGATCATGAGCCCAAATCAAGAGTCAGTAGCTCAACCAACTGAAACACCGAGACAGACACCCCACTACTTGTCTTTTTGATAGTGGCCATTCTAACAGGTGCGAGGGGATATCTCCTAGTGGGTTAGATTTGCATTTCTCTGGTGACCGGTGATGTTGAGCACCTCTTCAGATACCTGATGGCCATTTGTAGGTTTTATTTCGAGAAGTGTCTATTCAAGTCCTTTGCCCATTTTTAAATCAAGTTATTTGGTTTTTTTGTTATTTAGTTGTATGAGTTCCTTATATATTTTGGATGTGAATGCCTTACGAGATACGTGGTTTGCAAATATTTTCTCCCACTTCAGAGGTTCCCCTTTCACTCTGTTTACTGTTTCCTGTGCAGAGGCTGTTGTTTTTTTCCCCACAGATGTATAAAGGAATAAAGTAACATATAGTGTGATCAACTTAGACTTTACAAACTTCAAGGGAACTCTTTTTTTTTTTAAGTTTATTTATTTATTTTGAGAAAGAGAGAGAGAGAGAGAGAAACCCAACGTGGGGCTCAACACGGAGTGCGAGATTATGACCGGAGCCCAAATCAAGAGTCGGTCACTTAACCAACTGAGCCATCCAGGTGCCCCAAGTAAATTCTTCTTTGAGAGCAGAGATCATGTTAAATTTATATTCTTTTCCCCTATATAGCGGCTTCTTTTTTTTTTCTAAGAGCACAATACTCTGTACATAAATGTTAGATTAAGTGAAGTTTCTTCAGTACTGAAAAAAAAAAAAGAGCTAGTTTGTCTGACTTGATTGAGGCTGGGGAAAATGTATGAAACATATATAGTCATGACTTTAAGGTCAACAAACAAACAAAGGTTCACCAAATCCAGCAATACAAGGGTACGTGGGACAGTCTTTAATAGGGTGGTATGGTTCCTTGAGGAGCGATAAAGGAAGGACAACTCCACATTGTAAGAGGTAAACTTGGCTTCTTATCACCTCTAAGAAAAGCTAAAGGCAGAAAACACATAGGAATTTGAAGATGATGTGCGGAGAGATATAGATTTAAAGGAGACTTAAATTTCTACTCAGAGAAGATTTTTTTAAATCACTAATAATTTGTATTTACCTATGCATTTCTCCCTCATGATCTCCCCAGTCAACCCCTCAAAGGTAACTATTCTGATCTTGGTATTTTCATTTTCATGCCTTTTTAAAAGGTTTATCCTACGTATGTGTGAATGCCTAAACAATATATTCTTTTGTTTTACTTGTTCTTAAGCTTTGTATAAAGGGCATCACACTGTGTGGTATCTTCTGGGACTTGTTTTTTTCACTCAAAGTTATAGCCCCGATATTTTTTATGTTGCTTCATTTTAACTATGGTTTGTTAATTTTTACTGTCCTACTGTATTCCATTCTGTGAAAGTTGCACAATTTGTCCATTTTTCTGTTGGTGGACAACTGAATTGATTCCAAAATTTTGCTTTTACTATCTGTAAGAATTATGAACATTATTATACCTGTCTTCTGATACACATATGCTGAAATCTATTTGGGGCATATACACCCGGGCATTGGATTCTGGGTTATAGTATATGCAAGTATTCAATTTTCCAGGATAATAGAGGTGCTTGTTACCTAATGTTGATTCCAGAGGCAGCTTCTAGCATAGCCGCATTGGGACCTCTGTGGGTTACAGAACCCTAAACTGCACATGCCGTAACCCAGACCCAGTGTAACAATTCCTCTTTTCCACCCCCTCCCAAACTCCCCAGGCTAGAAGGGCAGATGGAGACAGGTAAGGGCCCCTCGCCCCCATCCTTTTAGCTCTTGTCTTGCCTTCCTCATCCCTGATGATAGGAGATCCTCTCCCCGAGGCTTCCAACTTCCAAGTAGGCTGGGTCCCATGGGCAGAGTCTGGAGATTTTTCTGATGCCAGACAAACCACT